GCTCAAAGCAGGTGCTGGCTGCCCTTGTGAATAATGGCGATCACAACTGTGGCATTTCAAAACGGTCACACGCCTTCATGCGTGTAATTATTTTAACTTGCACAGTCCACGAGTAGTAAAACAGCATCTGGCGACATTTTATCACTGGTCTGTACAATCTCACAGCATAAAATATCTATTTGTATATCAGCTAAATGCAATGGACACGTGTTAATACGAAACAGTCTACACACAACCAGCGGCTAAAAGGTAAAAATCCAGCCTCTGCCTAAGAACTGTGCCTTGGAGTAAGAAATGGAAAAGGAATTACAACTCCATGCATTATAAATCTCGGTTCTAGAGGGGGCGAGCGGCAACTTTCACGACCCTGCCGTTTTACCGCCGAGAAATGAACCCACAGTACCTGGAGACTGGCTGAACTCCCGACCCGATGCAGATGTGGTGGCAATCATGAAACTCCTACCCTGTCGAGAATCGAACTCCAGTTGCTAAGTCCACTGACACTCACTTTCCCAGGTAGTTTATACCGGTTCTGCACCAAATTCAAACTGCAATGCCCAAGTGTCGTCACACTAAACTGACAATATTTTGTGCGATCGCCATGTTGTTATTCGCGTCTCAGCAAATGTTAAAGTTTTCATACAACCGACGGCAGAAATGTAAGGATTTAAAAGGATACGGTCGTCGCCTAACTGAAACTAAGCCTACTATTCAAGCATCATTCGAACCGTGTACCTTCCGATACGCATTTATAGCGTTCCTATTTTAATTTCTCTGCTGCCACTCAAAGGCATTATTTATTTTACTGGTAAGTTTAAAATGCATGTACGTTCTCATGTATAGTGATAGTATTATGTTGTAATTTATTAAGAACAGAACTGGTAGTGAAACTCCTGGATGTCAATCTAACAGAAAAACGTCCAACGGTTCTCGAACTAAAACATGAGGACAGACAGACAGACATGACCTCCCCTATGTAAGTTAAACGAAGCAGTCGTGACCTATTTTAATGCACTATTCAGGCATCTGCCTGTAGGAACTGAGAAAAACACAAAACTTCAGTCTGGATATCCGCTCTCCAAGACGTAATTTGAAAACAGGAAAATTCGAAATAAGAAGTAGAAGTTCTAACTGGATACTGACAATCACATTACGTGACCTGTAAACTCATTCGATTATTCGTAACACTTTTAACATTTGAGCCACACCAAATTTAAAAGCACCACAGCAAATGGTGTTAGTGCACTGACCTCATAAATTCGCACGACCGCCTTGGAAGTATTATTTATGCTAAGTCTTTAAAAATAGGCCCATAAATATGGGGGCGGATTCTAGTGGCAAAATCTTCATACAAAGTTTACTCAACCATTCGTACTTAGCTCAGAAGTTATTAGAGAAAGACACACGGAAATGGAGAAACAATAAGCAGGCAGGCCTACGTGTTTGGCCATAAAAGAACCAAACCAACAACGCTTAGAAGTTATTTGCTGTTACTTTCTTCTTACTGCACTGCACACATATAAAAAGAAGCGTGGTTTATTTCGCGGTAACATTGAGGAGAGAAAGGACTTTGTGCCTTCTGTGTAAGAAATAATACAATCAACATTCCTATACTTTCTTTATTGCATATCGATTTTTTCAACAAGCTTTTCATAGACTGTTTATTGTATATAATCTTCCAGAGACATTGTACTGAATTATTTTGTCCAGATCTCATCAATGGTATGGTCTTTCGTCACTGTGATTAGTATGATTTTGCTAACAGATTTATCACACGCTTCAAGTGTGGCCAACCAAAGTATGCAACAGTTTAACGACCACCCTGTAGATATCAGCAATGTTTATAATTGTACGGTCGTTTCCCTCTCCCCCCCCCCCTCGCAACACTAATCTGTTTTATCGGTGCAATTTAACTAAACGCAGCAATTAAACAGGACACGTGAACTGGCAGATATAATCATTTCCGGATTGGGGCAGATCGTCAACGACGCCACACGAGTAATGAACGGAAAGGCACGCACAGCTGGCAATACGCAGAGAAAAAAAAACGATCAGGGAGTAAGTACCCGAATTCGCAAAAATAATTTCGTGCATCGTCATTCTTTTCTCAGACTGTTGCTCTCATCAACACCAATGGTTGTGGCCTAAATTCAAGTAAATTGACTGATTATGTGGGGTTGGAGGTTCTCACTGCGGTAAAGATGTTGACTTGGGTCTTCTGGGTCAATAATGCATTGGAGGAATGTATTGTCTCCATCCTTTGGGTAACAGGTGGCATCTTCACCTCTGAAAATGGAGGCGATACGTTCCTTCGAAACGTCGGTGACCATCTACAGACTACACAAAGTCAAGTCTGTAAGGGTACAATCAATACGACTGATTATGGGACCCGGACAGGATCAAATTTCGCCGTGTAGTCTGATGATGGAAGCAGCAAGGACCTCTGAAACGTCAGTAACTTCCGTCAGACTACATGAGGCTACAGCCCAGAAGAAATTTATTTAATACAATTCTTGGAAACTTCACAAGGAAAAAAATATGACGGTTATTGATATATTCTACTTTTAGACAAAACACCCCCGTCCCTTTTCTTCCATCGTGATGTCTCTGTCTTCACATACATTTCCTCCAATGACACATTCGACCCCCTTCGCCCCCCACCCCACCTTGTGCCACTCCCTTCGCGTCTCATACAACGCAACCGACTAACCTGTCCGCTCCTTCCTTGCCACGAGGAAAGTTTATACAAACACAGTTGTCACGAAAGAAAGACAGAAAAAGAGAGAAAAATAGAGAAAAATCCAACTGAGGTTTTTAGGAGCCGTTTATACACTCAGCACAGACTATATGCACAGAATTTTCCATAAGCAGTCGGCAGTTATTTAATTTGACAAATTACAAATTTTTATTGAACCCGAAAATTCATCAACTGGACAATGTCCTGAGCCACTTCCACGTAGTTCACAGTTGAACACTGTAAATCTAAGGATAAATTTAAAATTACTCTCCCCATTACGTCTACAACTTCCAACCGACTTTACCCGCTGACCTTCACAACACAAAATTAGTACGCAATACTTGTTTTCCCGCGCATGTTACTTGTCGTGCCATCACATTTTCATTGATTTGCCAGTCCAATAACATTAAGTGAAGAGTACGAACTGTGAAGTTCATCGTTGTGTAATTTTCTCCGTTCCTCTGTAACCTCAGCTTTCGAAGATTTCCATCATTCTCCTCAGCACTTCGTACTAATCGCTCGAGAGCTCTGGTCTTTCTTCCGAGTGACAGTTACGTTTTACGCTGTATAAAAATCTCTTCAAAACAATATTTCAAAATAATAAGCCAGCGATGAGAATTTACCGATTAATAAAACTTTATTATACAACTTAATATTGGTCCACACGAAAGTAGTACATACTAACCACACTACATGAACTTCAGGCATATGTTTTGATGACATGCCTTTGAACGCAGAGAAAACCTTTCGACGAAGTAAGCTTTATGTTTTCTTTCCTGTTAATATTGAAAATATCAAGTAAATACAGAGACGTGGCTTACTTACTTCATTGTATTGGGCGTATGTACCTGGATTGTTATGCAACTTCTCTGACACTACTGTTGTGTGGGGCTTATAACATACACAAACAGGCGTAAATGTTTCTTGCTTACAAGTACACAACATAATGCCGAGTGAACTTACAGCAGCCCTGCTAAAGTCTCTTCCTGATTATACAGGTCCGCCAACCACCCAAGAGACAAAATAACCCTCTTTGACGGCATTACTGCCAGCTCAGGGTAACCTTTGTAGAAATTGGTCTTTCTTTTGTATGACGAATTTGTATGGGTTGTAAATTATAAATCGGTATGTATGAAGGAAGAATAAACCGTGGCTTCCTTGAATGTATCACGGCATTTCCTTGCAAGTCAGGAAAACGACAAGAAACCTCACAACACCTGGAATTCGTGTACCAATCACATGTCTCTAAACTTCTGAAGAAAACATCTAGCAGTCATTTCCGTTATAAACTTTGCAAGGATCTGAAACCGAACATTCTCCTGTTGCTGACGCATGCAGCACATCCGTTCACGAGTAAACACGGTATTGTCGGTAGAACGGTACGAGCTATAACTTCCTTCTGAACCGTTTTATATCACAATCAAGAAATCGAGTGTGACTGACAACAAGTTGCTGAAGATAGTATATGAACTTAAGAGGGAGGAAGTGACATAACATTTCTAAATCTCCATATAGTGACTGAAGAAAATCACAAAAATATCAATTCAGGCACTCGGGTGTTCCAGGGACACGATAACGGTTTCCTTTACAAGCAGAGCAGAAAAACTCCCATGAATTATTACTAAATATGCCTACGAATTCTTCTTCGATTTCCTCGTAATTTCGTAAAACAGCACTATATTAGAGAACGTCTACACATATCACAGGTTTATGTGGGTCTTACGTCTCTATGTCGTCCAAATGAAAAACTTTTCTTCAAATCTTTCATGTCCGATACAAAATTTCAATCTGAACTCAATCACGCTAAGAATAGGATAATTGGACACAATACTCTCTTATCTGCCATTCCAAGATATAAAGGATTTGCTGGCGGGAAAACATTTACCTATTCTCCATTCTCAATGAATAATGACAACAACTGCTACAGATAACAATAACTTTTACAAGGATTACGTTCAGAAAACTGGTTGAAGTAATCAAGACATTATAGCCAATGTGTTCAAGATCGATGTGCCACATGCTCTTGCTAACATCTGTACCTTACAGAACAACACATAAAAATTGAATTGTCTCCCTGAACGATGTCACAAATCAACAAGACCGTAATCTACTATTTTCTTTCCATTTCTATCATAAAAATCGCATTATAAACGTACCTTCGCTTATCGAAGTAACTGCTGAAAATCCAAATTATAAGGCTTCAGCATGTAAGAATTAATAATAGAGAATACCATTATTGGCTCAACTGGAGGACATATATCAATATTTTGTTGGTGCTTTATAGGTTGGCTGACCAAGCTGAAACGCACATCGAAGATATTCCGTAACATCTCGGGACATATTTAGAAAATACACTGCTAAAACAGTATGAATCAACCCAAATTGTCTTATCTACCTAAACAATCTCAACTAACTTCGTTGCCTAATGTGCATGCGTACACACTGTATCAAACTGAATCATGTCACGGAGTAAATAAATATACCCGACCGCCTTTCCATCGTTTATTTCGTTCAGAGACGTCTTTTTTTTCAAAGTATTTTTAGTGAACAGATGTAACACAAATTTATTCTAGACGGTGGCTTTTAATTCGACGGAATCATTTCAAATTTACAAGAGACGCAGAATACCTTCATCTATAATTAATTCATAAGAAATTACCTTCATGATATAATCGTATCACTGGCCAGTTTTATTCTCAGACACACAAAGCAAATATCAACAGAAGCAACAACAAGAATAAAGACAAAACACATAAGTACGCGCGCACTTATACATAAACACATGCGTCATATAAGCAATTACATAAGTAACAGAAACCTTCAAAATTAGGCCAATGTTAAAAGTGTTTTACTTCGATCATTAAACAAATAATACCTGTCCAATAAACCCACCGCTGAATATGTTACACAGCATTACAAGCATGTATGTACATACCAAAGAACGTACGTACACATAACAGTTCTCAAGACTACTAGAGTACAAACATCGTACGAAAAGAATCTGAGATTTGAGATTCTCACGGCGTAAAGATGTCTATTGTGGCCCTCTGGCGTATATGACGCCGTCTGGTCTTGTTTAGCAACGTATCGAGTAAACGCATCACCTCCATCCTCAAGGTTGTAAATCTAAAGACTACATACTATAAAAAGACTACAATCGACATGCATGAGAGGTAACTTTTTAATTTACACACAGGCCTGGACCAAATTATAAATTTTACCTTGAACTTTATTCAAATCGGTTCACATTTCATTAAATAGCTTGGATAATGAAATCTAAATTATCCATTCTTTAATCCGGCTGTTACAGGTTTGTAAATAACGTTATGTAACACATGTGTATCATAATGTAAGTTCGGATTACAAGGAAAGACAAACCATTGGAGTGCAACGACAGAAAAACAACTTCAGACCGCCTACTGTCTGATTAAAATATTATATAAGGATGAAATTTATTACTAGGTTGAAAATATTCTGCGCTGCGGAATCAAGGTCGAATATTCTGATCCATTCGAATAAAAAATAAAATCATTATGAAATCTATCTAGGTAAACCTTGCCTGAAGATGACGATTAGCCGGAACATGTAGGGTTTTGTGACACCAATAATTAATACTTAACGTATGATTATACATGTACTGGGTTTTGATCTCATAGTGAATAAAACAAATGTTAAAAAAGGTTTCCAAAGCATTATTAGCAGAACTGGTCAACAGTCAGGCATGCATCGTAAAAAACTGTAATGTTGACTAAAACAACTATAACGACATTACATAGAGAAATGAGTTAATTTTCATTGTGCTGCATTAATTATAGGTTACACCATACCTAAAAATGAACGAAACATAAGTCACACATCATGACACCAAGTGCGCGTGCAGTTGAAACGATAAACATTCTTTAAAACATAGTAACATAAGCTGGAAATTATACCGAATAAGTAGATAGAAAATCTCGTGTAAATAATTGGACATTTCTCATCAAAATTCGATTTAATTAAATCTGTCGTGCAGAAATCAACAACTCTCGACACAAATTAAAATTCCTGGTTATTTTCAGTGTAAAGACAGTGTTAAAAACATCTATTCTTACGGTTACCTAACATCTAACATTCTGGGATCCAAATTCGAAAGAGTATGACAAATCTTCAGTATAACATTTTACTACAGCGCAGGAATTATTCTGTGAAAATATTTTGCCAACTTCTAACCTAACATATCCCAGATATAGATCGCTACTTCAACAGTTTCTTTAATGAACACTTGAATTCT